TTTCTTTGTAAGCCTCCTAAGGGTCTACAGACAGGCTAACAGCCCATCTCGGCTTCATTTAGCCACAGCACTTTTAAACTAAATGCTAATGCTAGTGCTTACAATGTCAACAGCATGCCAGCGCTCTAATTAGCATGGAGGAAGACAGAAATCGAGTTAAAATGCTATTTAAATGTTCAGTGGTCTGCACTGTTACCTCACAGTAAAAGGGGTCGAACCCAGGACGGGACTTTCTGTGGAGAATTTAAGTGGGTTTTCTTTGGGAGCTTCAGTTTCTCCATCCATCCAAAAAGTAGATGGATTAATGCTGCCTGTCTTGGTCTAGGACACTCTAGCAAAAGAGTGTTAATCTCAAGAGTTTCCTTTCTTGGTTGAATAAAAGTAACGACAGTAATTAAAAGTTTAGCAAGTTCAGTTTGTTCTCTGTTGATGTTGTGTTAGATTCAGGAAAGCCAAGGGGCCTTAAAAATAAGTTGTTATAAATCATAAATTTGTATATGTATGGGAATCATTTACAGCATTAAAATAACCCTACTGTGCCCTCCAACAGAATCGTAGGGCCAATTACATCATCATCATTAACCCTTTAAAACCGGTCGGAGTGGGCACGCTCTGTTTTGCGTAACTATTTTTAAATCCCGGTAGCTCTGCAACCACGTGAGCTAGCGCATAATTTTTTTTGCATATGAAACCGGAGGAGTTGTACTTACATCTTATGCCATCAGCTTGTCCTCGGTCACAGGACACTGCAAAGTGTGCAGAGTAGCTCTGCTAGACCTTCACACGCAGCATTACTAGAAACTTCAATTACTCCAATTGTGTTTCTTTTATGATTTGTAGTTGATGGGCTACACATGTAAGATTAGCAGTGTGCTCATGTAAAAGATTGTGTGATGCAGATGGGAAAGCAACACATCTCACTGAAGCGGCACCATGACAAAGCAACTTGGCACACACTCCGACCACAGCACGCACAATCAGCACAGCGGCCGGGGAGACATATGGGCATTTATTGCATTGAGAGATCACTGCCACGAATAAA